CTTGCTTGTAATGATGGACCTGCAACATTGGTAAATGTGCCAACCTTATTTATCCACTTGCTCTTCTTGTATGCTTCAATCTGATTATGTTCATAATACAAGGGTTGTGGGGTAGTTTCGTGGTGAAAGTGTTCGCTTATCATGCTGAAGGCACATGGGTGCAATTTTTGAATCCCATTTATGGTGTCCCCCGCCATGATGTTGCTGGAGTATTGCAAAAAGCAGTGTAAAAAACTCCCTCACTCACATATAACACAAGACATATGTCAGGATATAGATGTTCCCTCCCTAAACACCAAAGGTACATAAAACAACAACAGTTATCTGTCAAAATATGAAAGCAGTCCTATGAATGAAGATGTGACATTATGCATGTTCAGCCATTGTTTATCATTGCTGACATCTGATCTTGGCACACGTCACTCGTACAACACATGTTTGACAGAATAATGCACCCTATTGATAACAAGCTGATTGTTTATCTTGTGCCTCGTAATCTGACGTGTGTAGTCAGCAGGCCGGGATGTACGCTTACAAACAATACTACTGTGTGTATGTGACTATCAACATCCTCCATTGATAACTGCTACAGACAGCGGGACATCCCTATCGGTGCTGTATAGACGCGCTGTCGGTGGTGTAGATGTACATGAGCACTGTCACACAAACCACCCACTGTTGATGTGTGTGCCTGCACGTGTGTGCTGTTTCAAGGTCATCATATACAAAGGCTGGTCCTTGCTCCTGCTATCAATCACTGGTTTGTCTGGTCCAGACTCAATCATTTATAGGCGGCTGTGATATAGCTGGAATACTGCTGACTTATTGCCAAACAACACCCTCTAAACAACACTCACTCTAAACAACAGGCCAACACAGATGGATCTTTGTTGGCCCAATAGAAGAAGCAACCAAGACAGGCAACAGTTTGACACAGTAGACAAGAGGAGATCTTCAAATATATTTCCCTGTGGTAGGTTGGTTGGTTTGTTGTTTAACGCCGCACTCAGCAATATTCCAGCTATATGACGGCGGTCTGTAAAATAATCAAGTCTGGACCAGACAATCCAGTGATTGACATCATGAGCATCAATCCACGCAATTGGAATCGATGACATGTGTCAACCAAGTCAGCGAGCCTGACCACCTGATCCCGTTAGTCGCCTTTTACGACAAGCATAGTCGCCTTTTACAGCAAGTATGGGTTGCTGAAGACCTATTCTCCCTATTCTTATTTCCCTGTGGAAATTCCAGGTTGAAATCCATCTGCAGCAGCACATGTTAGTTTAAAGTGGTGACCTAATAATATCAATCACTGGACTGTCTGGTTCAAACTTGATTACATACAGGCTGCTGCCATACAGCTGGAATATTGCTGAATAAACTTTATGAAGTTTGTAACTATTACCATATTTGACATAATATTAGAATATTAGGCTCTTATTAGAATATTATTTTGGTGAAAAACAACAGAGTTGAAAGATTGTAAATTTTGTGGTTTATGCTGACAGCCTGAAATGTTTATATACGACAGATATATTTTTTCAGAATTTAATTTCCCATAATTAAGGATGCATATAACACACGTATTATAAACAAATAAATATGTCTTGCGTACATTAATCAATCGGAAGGGGTGCTAATTGGGATTGTTCACTAGCCAATATATTAGCAAATATCGCCATGGGTGCTTATTAGAGCGGGGCGCTTATTACGTCGAATATGGTATTCATATTATGTTTCTGCCTCAATGCATACACAATATTTGAACCAAGAAACCAAGAAACTCCACATTTATACAAACAACACATACATTTGATCCTCTGTACTACAACATGAACAGAGCTATTATCATAAAGGGTCAGCTATGTGTGAGGGGGATTTTCGTTAAAAATATTTCAGTGATATCAGAGATTTTCAACTTGATGTTAGAGGAAAGCCTAAAGATATGCACTTTGGTAAAACCCATGTGTTTGGTGCAGACAAACCTAGAAACAAAACCAGGGTGAACCCAGAACTGGACCCACAATCATAGGTCTCTCATGCACATTAGGGACACACTTCTGCCCACAAACTATCACATCTTAGACAACTGGGACACCCGGGACCCTCAGCAGATCCTGGCATTGCTAATGGAGACAACTCTGCTGAATAAATCGAGAAGCCTTGGACCACTGAGCTGTGCTTTGTAACAGACTTTGTAAATAAATAAAAGCAACAAAACCCTTTCCATATTTATAAGAGTCGATTGTATAATTGTACGATGTCTTTGACAGGAGGACTCACCAACGACATCCCTCGCCGATGACTCCAAGTCTGGTACCTCTTTTTCATGGTAAATTCCATTCCGATGGCCAACACAAAACACTTGCTACAAGGCACCAATCACAGAATCACCCACTTCTGTCCTGCCTGCATGATGCTAACTCACTGCAGGACAATCACACTCCTGATTAACTTTACTGAGACTTGACACAAGCTATGTACCAGGAAACAGAAAGGGTCAAGTGGCAACAAGTCATCAGAGACTGGATTTGGCTCATCTGTTTACTGCACAGAACGGAAGGAACAACGGATGAAGTAAGGAGAGAGTGGTCTCACTCCTCTCAACAGACACAGTCAAATGCCAGATGTTTACACATTTCCTGATTGTATTAAAAGCACAACGCCTCAATGTGTGACTGAGTGTGGCATCTATGTCCTCAACATGCACTACAGCATCGTCATGATAAACACATCTCTTTTTATCACAATAACATATCTGTGAATGGCTTCTCATATCAAGTGTTCATGGAGAGCAGAAAATGTGTTTCAAATAAGTTCCTGATGTTTAGTACACAGTATCTTTTGTTTTAAACTTCCGTGTGTCAAGATTTCAATTTTTTTAAAGAGTCACTTTTGAAGGATAAAACATGATTTTTTAAACACAAGGAAGTCTCTTGATTCAAACATATCTTTATACCCACAAGTTGTGTAACAGTAGACTCATTATGCTTATGCCAAAAGGACTAACTACATAAATTATTTGCAAATTTTGACAAAGGAATATATACAGTTTCGTTTTTTAAGTAGTTGTTTCACATCGACAGAGGATATTAAACACATCCACCCTTAACCATAAGTGTGTGCAGGGCAATAGTGAACGATCAGGACATCCCAGATTCTGTGCAGATGAAGTTCATACAGCTCCTCACAGTGGTATTCCCTATACTGTCCACACTGAGAGCACAGTTCATGCACTGTGATGGAGCTTTGCATATTTCAACCGGATACCAGCTGGTTCCTGGTATTTTTGGTTCGCTGAATTCTCCACACACAACAATATTCCAGCTATATGATAACACCCTGTAAATATCGGAGTCTGGGCCAGGCAAACCAGTGATTGATATTATGAGCAATGATCCATACCAAGCTTGACCACCGGATCCATTAAGTAACCTTGTATATCGCATAGGTTGCCAGGGGATCTGAACCCAGAATACGCATATATTAATGTTTTTTCAGAAACTAATGTTCCCTTGGAAAAATGGAGATTATGAAAACTGGGATTTAATCAATTTTGAGTTAAAGAGTTCAAATTAAAGAGCTTTATTGTCTTTTTCTTATTCCATCAAATTTGTCTTCAAGAACAATGTTAGAACAGGCCTTCAGCAACCCATTCTTGTTGCAAGAGGTGACTGGATCGGTGCTCATATCAATCACTGGCTTGTCTGGTCATATACCTGGAATATTGCTGAGTGCAGCGTCAAACAACAAACAAATCAAGAACCATGACAGTGTCATCCTCACAAGCACTGGATTTGCCCTGGCCATCTCATCTTGATGCAAACAGAAGGATTGTATGACACTTCACTCAGTATAGATGCCACAATAACTGTTGCCATTTGATTTCTCTTCACAGATTTTCATCAACACAAGATAATGTAGCTGATTGCATAATTAATGTTAAACTTCATGAATTCTTCACCAGTAGGTAAGAGAGATGTTACTGACTTGGATGTATGCAACATCATATTTGCTGTCTAAGGCTGATTTAAAATGTTGGCATGTCAAGTAGGGCTGGGACGGGTAACTCGGGTACTCGGGTCGGGTGGGTCCTGAGTAGGACCCAGGTACCTATATGACTACCCGGACCCGTGGTCATGTGACAAACTGTTTAATGACATTAACAATAAAACTCACATTTCTTTCTCACTATGCAGGCATTCGTTCTGACTTTCATATGTTCGAGTAAGGATAAAGCGTCTGTCAACTGCAGAGTCTACATGATCAGAAGGTTTTATACGTGTATCTAAATAGTTTTTGCCAGGGCTGCAGTAAAACAATTCTCATTTGGACATTTTGTACCCAACTCTTGAGACCAATAGCTGGTATCCGGGTAGGGCCGGGTAATAGGGTGTCGGGTACTCGGGTAGTACATTTGGACTTGTCCCAGCCCTAATGTCCAGCTATAATATGATTCATTGCACTCTCAAAATTAGTTTGTTTTGTTTGACACTACTTGTAGGCAGGAGAATAATTTTGAGTGGAGCAATAAAACATCAAGTTCCATGAAGTTGACAATACACCTTATATACGAAGTCGACAAAGACACAAGATCTTTTCTGTCATAAACCAAACATAGAATACTGTATTCGACGTAATAAGCGCCCCGCCCTAATAAGCACCCATGGCGATATTTGCTAATATATTGGCTAGTGAACAATCCGAATTAGCACCCCTTCCGTTTGATCAATGTACATAAGACATATTTATTCTTGTATAATACATATGTTATATGCACCCTTAATTATGGGAAATTAAATTCTGGAAAAATATATCTGTCGTATATAAACATTTCAGGCTGTCAGCATAAACCACAAAATGTATGCTCTTTCAGCTCTGTTGTTTTTCACCAAAATAATATTCTAATAAGAGCCCCCCAATTCTAATTTTGAGAGCGCCCTGGGCGCTTATTATGTCGAATAAGGTAATAGTGCAAGATATCAACACAATCTTACCCTGTGCAACGTAGGTGTGCTGTCCGGAGTTCCCTCCCCTTTGAGTGTGTGTTGTGAGCGAGGAGAGGACTGGTGGCTGCTCCCCGGGGTCGAGATGGGCGTGTCCGAATCAACAGGGGTCCCCCGTGGGGGGATGGGTGGGGGCAGCTGTAATACTTGCACTGGCTCAATACTAACCGGTGGTCCTCCTGGAGCCAGTAGGTGGCGCTGTTGAGAATACTGATATGAACAATACCTTTTATGCATGGCATCGAGTAATGATTTTGAAATGTGGGGTAAACTTCGATGAACTTGACCTTGACCCATAGTCATCATGCCATTGCCAATATTAGCAAAACTAGCGTTACGTCTGTTGAGCAAAGTGAAGTGGGGGGCACTTTCAGAACTGACCATACCAACACCCATCTTTGGTGCTAATGGTTTTGAAAAACCACTCCCAGTAATTCCGTGCCATGTCCTTGACATTTCAGGGCTGATTATTATGCTTTCTTCCACTAGTTTCTTCATCAGATGGCGAGGCTGAGTTTGAGGTGAACGGCCATTTTGTTCAACTGGTTGCTTCTGAGGCCAGTTCTCACAACTCGGCTTCATCTTTTGATTGATCGATGTCTTACAGTGCACATTTTGAATTGGATCAACTTTTGATCTTTCACTTGCTTCTGCTATTTTCTTGCCATTTTCGATTGAGTTTCCTCGTCTAAATTGGCGTCTGCGATCCAGGACTGGAGTTGAAGAGTTGACAACAACCTGCATCTCTGGAGATTTATCGGCCATTAAACTCTGCATATTTTCATCAATAGCAATGGTGAGCTCTCCACTGAACTTATTCGGAAGACCGCTATCAGAAGACTTCCTTTGACGGGGGTTGACTCTGGTGACGATCTCCCGGGTTCCTTCAAATGACTTTGACCTCGTCGGGACTCCCTGCTTCCCCGATTCCATCAGGGCTGACCTGAGTCTCCTGTGTGTCTGGGTAGCTCTTGAAACTCTTCCATGTTTATGCAAAGTTAACAGTTTATCTTTGGTTTGTATGCTTTTCGACATCTTTTCTACATCTTTTACTTCTTCTTTTGATGAGACTGTCTGACATCCAATTGAATTCCTCCCAGCTGTGTCAGCACGTCCATTTTGTTTCTCGGAAACACATTTACAGTTTTTCTTTATCTGACCACATTTACATTTTGGATAATTCTTAGAGATATATTCTTTACATATCTTGATTGGGCTTGGTGGAACTTGACAACCAAAATCTGTGGAACTATTCTCACTATCAGACACGTCTGCTATGTCTTTGCTGCATCGTGATTGGCTGTTCTTCTGACTCCCACCATCATCACTGCTTTCTGATTGGCTCTTTCTTTTTGTCCGTTGCTGGTTGATCACATGACTGATCATCTGCTCTGTGCGATCGACAGACGGGAGACATGATGACGTCGTACCGTCTTCATTGGTGATCACCAGCTCCTGAAACAGAAAGGGCTTGTGTTAGATGGAGAAAACGTGTGACAGACAGTGTTTTACAAAGCAGTGTTCTGAGTGAGTGAGTGAGTGAGTGAGTGAGTGAGTGAGTGAGTGAGTGAGTGAGTATGGTTTTACGCTACTTTTAGCAATATTCCAGCACTATCACAGCGAAATTGGCACCAGAAATGGGCTTCACACATTGTACCCATGTCAGGAATGAAAGCCAGGTCTTTGGCATGACGTAAAGCAAATGATTTTACCACTAGGCTACCAGACCGCCCCACTCCATGAGTGATGGAGTGTTTATTGCTTATTGCTTCAAGCCCCATCAGCAATCTTGCAGCTATTCAAGGTGACCAGTGCTCCATGGTCTGAAACCTAAACTGGGTCTACATCTTGACTTTCGTATCTGTGCTATGCATGAAACTGGGACATTGTCTCCGTTTACTTGATGTAATTAAAAACTGATGGACTGATCATCATGAAAACTGAATTAGCAGACAAGTCGAGCGACATCTGAAAGCCTTGCTAGGACTGCCAATGTGTCCGAGTACGGTTTTACGCCGCTTTTAGCAATATTCCAGCAATATCACGGCAGGGGACACCAGAAGTGGGCTTCACACATTGTACCCATGTCGGGAATCGAACCCAGGTCTTCGGCGTGAGGAGCGAACGCTTTAACCACTAGGCTACCCAAACGCCCCTGTAATAATAAGAGTAAAATGTTTATTTGTGTTTGGCACAGGTGGCCCTGTGGTCCAAGCGGTCAGAATCCAGTGACTGTGCGGACAGTTCCCAACTTTATCATGATCCCATTTTACTCCAACATTGTGCTGACACACTGTCACCTATCTGAAATACGGTTCAAGTCATCTGAAACCACAATTCCCTGTTCTCAAGATGAAGAGATCTATGTCAAGCCTGTGACAACTGACTGAAGCAGCAGTAAAATCCCCCAAACCTCAAGGTCTTTTTATGAACGAATCATTTACAATCTAATCTCTGACAAACCCAGTTCATATGTTTTAAGATAATGTAATTACTAAAGCAAGAGCATCTCCCAAATCAATGAAAAGCACCTGATAACATAGAAAGTATAAACAAATAAAATACATATTGCAATTGTTTAAATTTTGATTAGATTGATGGTCTTGATGTCAATCACTGGATTGTCTAATCCAGACTGGATTATTTACAGGCCACTGTCATATAGCTCGATTAATGCTGAGTGCAGGTTAAACAACAAACAAACAAATGTAAATTCCTACAGGGGATGTTTTTTAACTTGTAACTAAAATAGTTTGTATATAAAAAATCAATTAAAAAACGTTTTAAAACATCATCTAATGATCTTCAAGTTAACAAATAATTCTCACTACAACTCCTGTTTAACATTAAACATACATTAAACACAGTACTAACTATTGGATCATGGGTTATACAGTGGACAAAAAAAAACAAGGTATGATAAAGGGACCCTTTGACCAACGAGAATTCAGGTTGTTTTTTATACAGATACACAATAGCCCAATGGCATTATTTAGGATTTTATAAATAATGCATAAATAGATCTTCACCTGTTTTGGGGTCTTATCTTCCAGTTGCAAGGCTTTTATTGTAACAAATGGGTTTTTAGAGGCATCCTGCAGGTATGGAGTTTCAAAATACAAATAATAGTTATTCACCAAGAGAGCCAGAAGGTAAGGCTTGCGCATTATTGTCCCAAAGGAGTACATAGGTACAGTCAATGCATTTAAAAAATGTGTATTTGTGAGACATTTAAGGAAAACAACAACCAAAACAACATTAAAAAAATTTAACCCATCTAAAGCTAACACAAAAGGTGACCTAAAAAATTGTCAAGAAGATCAATATAGCCAGCAAATTTGCATCTACGAACATAATACAATTAACACGTACCATTCTGGAGGCTGGGTCAACGGAGACTATCATAACGATAAAAATGTCCTCCCTGAATTGATGTTTAATCCTCTAAATGTGCCATTTATCACCAATGTAAACCCATAGCAGTAATTATGAACTGTGTACATGCCATCTATCATACAGGCTTCACACGGTATCACCAGCTTCCGTTACCTTTAAACTTTTATCTGATAAACAGTATCGACCCAATGGACGTGGCACTCATCATAGACACAGATGTAAGCCTAAACTTAATAATCACATGACCAATGGATCTTCCTCTATATTGGGTGTGATAGAAGATATATTGGCACCGCTGATAACATGGGCCAACTGTTGTGATATATTTATACACAAGTGACTTAAAGGTACATTCCTACTACAGTTAAGGTCAGGTCAGGTGAAATGGAGTTCAAGATTATTGCACTTATATTGTGACATGCATGCAATTGTTTGTGTATGTGGCTGCTTGTACTTGTGCTGATTGATGCCGATTTTATAGTGCAAGCCCACTGGGATACCATGACACAGTTTAACATGATAGCCCACTCAGACATAGTATACGGACTCCGAGCCGACCAGTCCTTGTTTTCGTCCCTTAATGCCGAGCGCCAGACAGGGTAACAACAAGTACCATATTTTAACGTCTTTTGGTATGACATGGCCAGGGATCGAACCCCCGACCTTCCATTCTCCAGTCGCAAGCTCTACCACTAGACCACAGAGGTAGTCTACCGTTGAGCATTATGGAGATCTGTTGTAATTTTGGTTGACTTTGTCCTGCTTTGATTTTGGACCAAGATGATTTTGGTATACAAATAGTGACAACACACTTAACTTTGTTTGAGTCAGATCATTATGAAGTTATGGTCTACAAATGGATTTTACAACTTTCCCTCATGGTGTGAATTTTATCTAAATATAGTACATCGTAATTATAATCCAACATTAAGACCAGTGCTCTCCAACATCAGATATTTAAAGGCATGGGTTGCCCAGTCATCTGAGGCAGCACAATTCACTACATATCCCTAAAGCATGACAAAAACCTATGGTCCTGGGTTTGAATCCTGGTTCGCCCAGGTTATATTACTAGGTCTGTCAGCACCATACTCATGCTCATGGGTTTCACTGAAGTGGTAAACGTATAAAACTTGTATAACATTGGCCTTTCCTCCTACATCAAGCTGACATTTTGTACTATAACTTAAATACTGTCAAAAGTGATGTCAAACCCAACTCACTCACTCAAGCTTGTATCCTCCCATAAATGGGCAGTAGGGTAGCCTAGTGGTTGATGTGTTCAATCGTCATGACGAAGAGCTGGGTTCGATTCCCGACATGGGTACAATGTGCGAAGCCCATTTCTGGTGTCCCCCGCCATGATATTGCTGTAATATTGCTTAATGCGGCATAAAACCATACTCACTCACTCACCTCCCACAAAAATGGAGCCTCAATTGCTATTAAAGCAGCATGCATGTGTGATATCCTCATAAATTTACAACTTGTAATTGTCATAAACTGTAGAAGATCTGGGAACTTTTGTAATGAACATACTGAGTTCAGTTTGAGCCTTAAGTCCTAGTACAGCTTCGTCACAGGCATGGAATCAAACGCAAGGCAAATTAGGTTGCAAACCAACACTGGACCCACTGACCCACCACGCCAACCCATGTAGCCTTGGGGGTGCCCTTCATCATGTGTGTTAAGTCAGATGCAACTAAGCCTGAACAATGAGATGTGAGTTTAGTACATGTTCTACCTCAAACGGTAAAGTGGACCTGAAATATGTTTACACACATCAGATTTCCTCCTTCCCTCTGCTCCCCATCGACAATTCAAGATGCACTCTCTGCCTCCCTTACAGTTTATTTTCTCCTGGTGATTGTTCGTTGCGCTAATTGAGTACTCAATCATAATGTTTACAGACCATCCTGATCTTCTTCCAAGACAGAAATACCTCAAGCATACTGTTGTTGTTGTTGTTTTTCTGCACTGAAATTGTTTGAGTCTTAATCCTGCACAGCAGCTTTTTTAAGTTCTAAGGATCATTTTCATTATATACTCTGATGTTTGAGGGGCGGTCGGGTAGCCTAGTGGTTAAAGCGTTCGCTCGTCACACCGGAGACCCGGGATTGATTCCCCACATGGGTACAATGTGTGAAGCCCATTTCTGGTGTACCCCGTCATGATATTGCTGGAATATTGCTAAAAGTGGCATAAAACGATACTCACTCACTCAACTTCAACCTGTAGTCTTGCATTAGATAAAATCAACTTCAACTATTTTCTATAAGTTTCAGACAATGGCTTTAGTACTTTTTTATGCCTTACATGGAACTTTTTCTGGGCAGCCTTAAAGGGCCACCCGTGGTTGATAGTGTGAACACCAACCCCTGTCACTGGGTCATGATGACCCACCATAGCAGGTAGGGTACACAGCAGTGTTCAGCAGATACCATAACACTCTTTCATCATTTGACATTGTCAAGGTCTAGGTCTGTTGATTTCCTGGTTTGATTCCAAGCTTTCTCCACACTCATACACTTGCGCAAGTCTCAAAGGCAATAATTATTAGTTAAATCATAATTTCTAATGAGTGAGTGAGTGAGTATGGCTATACGCCGCTTTTAGCAATATTCCAGCAATATCATGGCGGGAGACACCAGAAATGGGCTTCACACATTGTACCCATGTCGGGAATCGAACCCGGGTCTTCGGCGTGACGAGCGAACGCTTTAACCACGAGGTTACCCAACCGCCCCAAAATTTCTAGATTATGTGAATAAGAAGAACATGTTGTCCCTATAAGAGACTGGTGCCCTTAGTATTGTCCACATATCCAGACTTGCCAATTTGGAGGATAGAACTACGACACATCCATGGACTTACCATTCAGTACAGCCTTGGAGCATGGCTAGGGTCCCACCAAAACATTATAAATCTGCTGCATCACTTTGGGCTTTGAAATTAACGAGAAAGATAGTGATGGAACTGGAATGTGGCATTAAACTGCATTCACTCACTCACTCACTCAAAGGATGGAACCTGCACCTGTATTCCTACCTGCTCATTAA